GAGAAGAAGGGAGATTACTACTACCTCCCAGCGATAACCCAATGTTAAGGGTTAATGACCTTAAGTTAGTTAAGGTCATGGTTTCCACCCGCATAAGATAGCAGTCGTTTGCCATAAGGGTGGTGGAGGACTGGAACAGACTGCCCAATGAACTAGTCAACATTAGTTCGGTGAAGAGTTTCAAGACCCGCCTGGACGCAGTATGGCAAGGCCTTTTCATCTAAGGAGCCGCCTAACCAAAGTGATTGTCCGGAAGCTCCACTTCCTCCTTATCCCCGACCTTCTGCCACTTACTCTCTCACTCTTTAGTCATTACTACCTTCTATTCTGTCTATACCATATCCCATACCGTCACCATTACCTGATCACTTACTTACCACTAGAACTCCTCTTTCCCTTCGGCCGGGGTTGTAACTTGGTTGATGCCGGTGTCAGCGTCTGCTGCCCTGATCCACTAGGTGTACCCGAATGTGGCGCGAGAGTGGGAGGTCAACACCCAACTCTCCTGAAGTTTCTGATCGCAAAATTGAAGAAGAGTCATATCCCTCTTCCATCTGTCGCAGCATCGGGGGATCCCTGGAGCCCACCGTTGCAAGAAACTGGACTAACTGGCACACCGCCGTCAACGTCCTGGAACTGAACTGAACTGAACTCAAGAGTGGACAAGGTATCAGATAAAAATGGTTGAGGATGGCGGAATGCTCTAAAAGAGCAAGTTGGTGGAAGTAAGACGAAAAACAAGAATTGTTATACCGGATGAATAGTGGGATGATTGGAAACACGACAAGCAGTGAGTAAAATAACAAGAGGCGGCCTGCAGGTCGTTGGATGGAAACCGGCACAAGAGCGGATAGGGTGAAGCAGAACAGAGTGAAACTGTCATGAAATATATATGCACTTCACGTTGTGAAACAGATGAGTTCTGAAGGGTCTTGTTCGATGGTCTCAGGAGCTCCGATCAGCAGTGGATTGATTTGGGTTATTTACGTTAATCAGGCGTTGGTCGCTTTGATGTCGGACTGACTAGACGCTAGGCATCCAACCTTACAATACTTTGTAGATGAGGCAGGGGGTGCGTTCCTCTACCTGGTCCGGAATGCGGACGCATGTAGTCAAAGTGGTGGATACAGCCGCGCCCAACAACCATTGACCGTGCCAAATTGTCCATTGCGGGTGTAGACCCCAAGCGTTGGTCAGGCCCAGATCAACCGGATCTGGAATAAGAAGGCGAACATCGGCAGTCTGGGGTGCAGCCCAGCTGAGAAGGGATTAGGGAAAGAAAAAGCAAGAAGCAAACGACAAATTCTAATCAAGGAGGATGCTTAGGTCATAATACTGGTGAAAGGATGTTGTCAAAATATGTCTAGTTCTACAGATCCAAAATGGAGGTGGATATGCGTAATGGTAGAACATCAGTTGATAGAGTTGACACAGCTACCTGGTTAGCATGTGCCACGGAGTNGTTGAGCCAATTGAGTCGAATGAAAACGCAATCAGATAAATATAAAGAAATGGAAGATGGGTCACAATACTTATAGAAGTATGTACCAAATTAGGTTGTGTTCCACAGATCCAGCCTCGAATAGTTAAAGAGTAGTGTTACTAGTAAAATATAAATTGCAATGGAATAAGGTGGAATAGAGTTAGTTTAGGGTGGCCACAGTTAAGGATATAAGCAAAGATGCACAGAAACACACTTATAAAACGTGAAAAAGCGAACTTGTCGATCCACGACAGATTTTCAACCGCGTGCGGTCAGGGGAATTAGCAACGCGCTCTCCACATCTGAGAGATTTACATTTAGAAGAAGCCGACTCTTCCGAAGTTGATTTGCTGATAGGATGTGACGTGCCAGAAACACACTAGGTGCTTGACCGAAGGTTGGGCAGTAGGAAAGAACCCTACGCCGCTCTCATCCTTTTCGGGTGGACATCGTTTGAACCGCCTCATCCGGCCAACCGAAAACCATTGTTAATTAACTTTACCACCACCAACGCTGAAGACGATGCAATCGAATAAACTCTATAACGGATGTACGAAAATGAGTTCAACGACTTGAGTGACCAGAAAACGGGCTCCTCTGTAGAATATAATCAGGCATTAGCTATAATCGAAATGGGGACATGCTGTCAGCCCGACAGATATGAGGTGCCTTCACCATGGAGGACGGGATATGTCCAATTGCCAAACAACCACAGGATAACCTTAAAAGGGTTGCAGTACCTTGAAAGGTGACTGGTCCGGGACGCAGAGCTATGTCGATAGTCCACCGCAGCGATGCAACGGAATGAGCAGCTGGGAAATATAAAACGAATGGACGTATCACAACAACGCGGGAAACGACAATGGCACTTGCCACACCAACAGGTAACCAACCCTGGAAAGCCAGGAAAAATACGCGTGGTATCTGATCGTGCGGCGCGATACGGCGGCCTCTCCCTTAATGATTGTCTGTTGCAGGGACCAGATTGGACCAATCCTTTGGTCTGCGTACTAAGCCGTTTACGGTTGGGGGCGGTGGCATTGGCAGCCGACATACAGAAAATAATTCTCCAAGTTAAGATACCAGAGGGTCACTGCGAAGCCCTGCGACCACTACGATGGCTTGAAGGCGACGTACGGAGCCCGGCAGTAGACTATCGCCTGACAGTTCATCCATTCGGAGCGGTTTCCTCGCATTTCTGCGCAAACTAGGCACTTAGAAGGATGACCTTACAGCATGAAAACAAGTTCATCACTTCGGCGCCAGCTAATGTTGTGAATAACTCCTACGTCGACGACTTCCTTGGAGCAATTGATGATGCAAGAGAAGCCTCGCAATATGTAGGGCAATCGAAAAGCCTGCTGGANCTAACCAAATGGTTTTCCAACTGGCGCTTAGTTTTAGACAACGTTCCCCAACCCAACAGAGCGAGTGGGGCTGTCAACCTGACTACGCGGTCACTCTCTATCGAGCCAACCTTAAGGATACGATGGAACGCCGAGTCGGACGAATTCATTTTTCAACTTCGGCTACCCGAAAGGAACCCCACTAGGCGAGGGATGCTATCGTCGGTCTCCAGTTCGTATGACCCGCTTGAATTCGTCGCACCGTGGCTGTTACCGATGANGAAGGTCTTCCTACAACAGCTTCGTCGAAAAAGGGCGGAGTGGGACCAGCCACTAAAAAGCAGGACCAGGCAGACTGGAAGCATTGGTTAACCAGCCTAACGAGACTGAGTGAGATATGAATCCCGCGCCGGATCAGCCGAAGCAGCCAAACGACGAAGGCCGAACTGTACGTATTCTCCGACGCGTCCGAGACGAAATACGGAACAGTAGCCCACGTATGCTAGCTGCATGTGAACGGTGAGCGCACGACAGCAATGTTTTTCTCCAAGGCCTGGGTTGCCCCTTTGAAATACGTATCGATACCCCGCCTCGAGCTGACCGCGGCCATGCTATCCGTACGTATATCGAAGCAGCTGCGACAGTGCTTCAGTATCTTCGATGAACGCGTCACGTGCTGGACGGATTCTGCGGATTCTGTGATACACTACGTGAACTAGCACTAGCTTGAGCACCTTCGTTTCTAACCGGCTGGCGGTGGTGCACAAAGAGACCAGGGTGCACCAATGGCGATATGTGAAATCTGTGGACAACTCGGCCGACCACTGCTCCCTGGGATTGAGGTCGTTTGACAAATTACCTGACCGGCTTCGCGGCCCAACATTTTTGACCGCCGGGCCATAGGACGAGAAAGAACTGCCAGTACCCGCCGTGCCCGTCGAGCTGATCGAAGCCAGTTGAGTGGTAATGACGGTGGAACATGACGTTACCTCCCCCTGAGAAGGAAACTGGAAAGCTTCTCTTCATGGAGCAGACTGATTTGTTCCGTCGCTTGGTGGATAAGGTTTAAACATATGATGATGATCACGACCGGATTTCGGCCTGACGAGTCGCTGCAGGTGGGACCCTTATCGACGGATGACCAAATGAGAGCCGAAGGCAACGTCGTGAAATTAATACAACAACAGCATTTGCCCCTCGAAACAACGGCGTTGAATGCGAATGCAGGGACAAACCCAAAAGGGACTTCAATCCAACGAAGCGCGCTGCGCAAACTGAACCCCATATACTCGAAGGGTTGGGAGATTGGACAACTCCTCCTTGGCATCCGACGCTAGACATCCGATGGATCTACCAGCCGGTAGTCACGTCACCACCTTGCTCATCCGCCACCTCCACGTAAAAGCCGGGCACGTGAGAACGATCCCCCTACTGAACGCCATTCTGGAGAGTTTGACTAACACGCGGTAAAACCGCAATAAAGGGATAATAGGTAAATATATGTTTTGTCGCCGTCAAAATGCAGTTCAGTTCAGTTCAGTTTAGTTTGCACAGGACAGAAAATGGTCACGGCCAATCGAGCGTCCAGAATTCCTTCGGTGGTATGCGGTCAAATATGGCATCCACCACTACGAAAAGTAATCCGTACTTCCTGGCTGAAAAGAGGAAGGGCAAGACGTCTCAGCTCACCTCCAAGGGGAGAGATTGTTACAAGTGAGCGTTCTCCAATACATAGCAGAGCGAAAACAAAAAATATACAACCTGAGTGACCCGCTT